ATAACAGGAGATAGAGCTCACTCAAACTTGCTATCACTACGGTAAAAGGAATTACAGAAATAGAAAGGTATTTGCCTGCTGTCAAAAAGTTCATAATGGAGTCAGCAGGTAATCTTTTGAAATAGGGCATAAAGATGTTCTTTCTTTTGCCTCTCCCTACTTTAGCACATTTTCTAGGACACAGATCCTTATTCTAGATAGATTTCAAGGGATCCATGCCTTTGGATGGGGAAAATTATAACTTTATTTTCACTAAACTCAGCGGAAATTTAGCTTGCCTTGTTATTGATTTAATGCATTAATAAAGCATATATATTTCTGTATGACACATTGGTTATTTTTAATGCTTTGATAACTACACTTGAACATTATTAATTTCCTTTATAATAAATGTGCATCCATGTATTTTAAACATTTGAATATGTATTTATAAAAAAGGAGCTCGTAGATTTTGCTCTCAAAGACAGCCATGGCACAAAAAGATTTAGAACTCCTGTGTAGGGAACCTGGAGAAGTGACAAAAATTTCACTGTCCAAGTAGAAACAGGTGAAGGAAATGCCCTTTTAAGTATCCTAAGGGATCCTGATCCTAAGCCATCTAAATCTTCAAGTACAAGTACTTTGGATAGGCCCCGGATATGCAGTGAAAACTGGTGGGCTGCAATGCAGGGGCATTTGATTGCACTCGCCAACCATTAGTAGTTCATCAGCTCTGTTTTGAAGTAATTGAGATTTTTGAAGCCATTTGCAGTCACAATCCCAGTTCAGCATATTGCAATAATCCAGGTAGAAGTCATTGGAGTGTTTTGCAAGGATGTGTCTCTCCAGGTGGAGCCTCTCCAGGCTGGTGTATCAGTCTAAACGGGGACATAAACATTCACAGCCACTGAGACAACAGTGATGAGTCCAGAAATAAGTACATAATAATAGCCTCGCAAGGGTCATCTTAGTTCAGCATTTTGTTTCTCAAGACCAGCAGTATCTATGGGAGAGGCAGGCAAGGGAGGGACAGAATACCAAAGCAAGGTAGATAGAGTGATGCTTGCATACATATGAAACAGGAGCAGTTCATCATTTTAATGAACATAGCAAGGTCCTGTGAACATGTTCCAGAAGACTAGATCTCTCCCATAAATTCATCCAATCCACTTTTGAAAAATTCTATGAGCAAACATTAGAATAAAAACTTTATTGTCACTTTAAATGGGCACTAAACAGCATACATTAAAGTGAAATGCTATTGCATTCAGCTCTCAAAAGATAACCATTATGCATATGCCCACATACACACATGTATGATACAGAGAAATGTCTAGTTTGAATGTATACATATACATGGTGGGAAAAAAAAAAGAATTCTGGAAGTTTACAAGATGAATGGCCTAAGGCAGTGGTCACCAACCAGGGGGCCAGGGACCACTGGTGGTCCATGAGAAAATTTTGGTGGTCTGCAGAGAAATGTCCCCCACAAAGCACCCCCGCAAAGCAATTAATCCAGGTTGCGTGGGAACAAAAGGCTGCACCGCCCACATGGCCCACCCCTTCGGGGCCGAGTGCAAACTTTACCTTGAGTAGAGCCATGAGAACTGGAACTGGAAGGTAAGACCAATGGTGGGGAGGGAAATCCGCCCCGGGGTGGCTTGCTGATGTTGGTGGGAAAGTCAGTCCCATATTCCAAAGCTGTAATAGTCACAGGACTGGCCCTTTGGTCATCCTGGAGCAGCTGCTCCTCCACCCGGGTGCACCGGCCTGCCATGGACTGGAGGAGCTGCTCCGGGATGACCAAAGGGCCAGTCCTGTGACTACTGCAGCTCTGGAATACGGGACCGACTTTCCCACCAACATCAGAAAGCCACCGTCAGTCAAAATTCATATTAGTGGTCCGCGGGATTTAAAATTATGAGATTGGTGGTCCCTGAAGTTCAAAAGGTTGGTGACTCCTGGCCTAAGGAACAAAGCTGCTACAGAATCTAGTAATCCTGCTATACTTTGAAACCTCCTCCCAGAGGGAAGCAACAGAAACAGACCGTAAAGTGGGTGTGCAGGGTCTATAACAATGCTTTGAGCTCTAAGCACATAGCGCTTATAAGCAGTATCCTGAATAACAGGAAGTAAGCATCCTATAATCTTCTCAACCGTCCTTACCACTCTTTGTTCCAACAATGCGATGTTCAGTAAGGAAGCAGCCATCTTTCTGGATCGTTCTCAATTTACAAGAGTTCATTTAGTGACCATTTCAGTTATGACACTGAAAAAAATGACATATGACCATTGTTCACAATTATGACCCTAGCAGCATTCCCACAGTGTTCGTTGAAACAATTCTCACATGTGATCAAAATTCAGACTCCTGGCAACTGACTCATATTTATGAGAGTTGCAGGGTCCGAGTCATGTGATCACCTTTGGCAACCTTCTCACAAACAAAGTCAACAGGGAAGCCAGGTCCACTTAATTACCATGTTATTAATTTAACTGCAGTGATTCACTTAACAACTGTGGCAAGGTAGGTCATAAAATGGGGCAAAACTCATTTAACAAATGTCTCACTTAGCAACAAAAATTTTGGACCCAATTGTGGTCGTAAATCAAGGACTATCTATAAAATTTTAGTAAGGGGTTTGGGGAATTTTGCAGATTTCAATGAAAAACATCTCAGAAACTCTCATAATTGGTTGTGACATCTAATGGAAAATGGAATTCAGTACCTAGAGAGCCACAGATCTCTCACTCATTTGAGAGGGAAAAATGGATCTGTGTAGTTCTATTGGCCTATAGAAGTAAGATTCAACAGGCTTGCCTACAACATGTACGCATCAGGCAGGAACCCCTTTGGATTCTCTGTGACAGTTCCTCACAAAAGCAAAGAAAGCTATTTCTGGGGGGGGAAATTTCTTTTTATGTAACATGAGAAGTACAGTAATAAAGTTCTCCAATTAACCAGAAGTCCTTCTTATACCTGGTAAAACAGTGAAAGAATTTAAAACATACATCTATTTATTATATTTATTTCAGCAAAATAAATACAACAAATGAGAGATGCATATTTTAATATATATTGCCTTACTCTATTATTAATAAAGGTAAAATATAAGTCAACCTTCCATAGGTGTTTAATATTAGTATTCCTGTTTAGCAGAAAAATGCAGCGTTGACCCATCTCTTAAAATTACAGCTACATTGGCCATTATTCAGTTTTCTGAACTGAAGTAAACGACACATTAGACTCATAAATATATAGTTTTCAAAAGTATTTGAACGCCTCTATTAGACACAGAAATAGAAGTGTGTTTCTAGGTCATTTTGTATCCTTGAACTCATCACACAAGGTGTTTCACAAAAATTTGAAGAGGAAAGAAATTTTATTTATTTGTATGAATGTAAATCAAAGGTTCAAACAATTGCGTCAAATAGACATAATGCTGCATAACTACTGTAGATGTCAGATCCATAGGGATATAGCGTTTGTTCTGCCCCATTGCCACCCCCACAAAGGTTACTGGAGTTAATGCCCATATGGGTAGAGATTTGGAAGGAACAGAGTAGGATCTAACTACCCAATCCTGTATTTCAGAATTCAGCATATCCATTTACTATTTAGAACCTGGATAAATAAAATTATAATAATGCAGATGTATGTAGAGTTCGCAATACTTTCCCCATATTACAAAGTGCTGAGACAAAGCTTCCCGTGAATGTTGGTAAGCAGCCTCCAGAATGCTGCAAAGGGAAGTTTACAAGCCATTTATCTACTTCAAGAGTCTCAAGTACTCTCTTTGGTATATAGCATCCTTCACATTTCCATTGCCACAGAGTGTTTGGGTAAAGCTTCCATTAATGCACATTTACATAAGCAGTAGTCAGCACTGCTCATGCAATATGTTCCACGTATTTTGTGTACCCTTGATACACAAATCATAGAATGCATATTAATTTGACTTATATGTTAGTGGGAAGGATATGGGGTCAATGGCTACAAAATTATCAGTATCCTTTGGTAAGTCCTACTGTTGAGAGATGCTTCAAGAAAGTATTCAAGAAAGAAAGATAAAGGACAACTCCTTTATCCTGAGATTGATCTTCAATTAAGAAGGGCTTTCTTAGTAATTCATTTACATTTCAAGCAAAGATACATAAGTATACCAGCAGAGGAATGAAAGAGGGACAGCTGTGGTATCTTTGTCCCTTACACATATTAAGAAAGATAACATTTCTGAAGCAAAACAAGTCAAGATGTAAAATTTACAGAAAACTAGTCAAAAGTTGTCACCTTGTTTAGAAATCCTTTAAACCATTTTTACCAGGCTGAGATATGCTGCAGATAAGGATTTTCATTAGACTGTAGCTTATGGAAGCAATAATTGATATATAACAGGAGTGTCAATGGGCGGAATTATGTGTAAACAATATACAAATGATTTGTTTGCAAAGGGCTGTGTGCATAGCCTATCAGTCCCTTGCCATCAGTCGTTTCTAAATGTGAAAGGTCCAGGTTTTACTGAAGACCTTTCCAATTTTCATTTGTATAAAATCAAAAACTGGAAGAGATCATATTAGGTCATCCAGCTCAAGGTCCCGCTCGGTTGGAAGCGTCCACATTCAATCCCTCTTAACGAAGCTCCGCAAGCGGAACCCCACCGTCTTCCTGGATAAGCATTCGCGAGAAATTCCGAATTACGTCACGACTCCCACGAATTTCAGAAAAGGAAATCAACACCGCAGCCGTCCCTTAAGAGGGGATATCCGAAAAAGAAAAGAAGCGCGCGGCCGGGGGCGGCTACAATCCAGGAGTGCGACTCTTTCAGAGCAAAAACCGAAGTTCAGTTCCCTCACACACCAAGAACTTTCCGGGCCTCGAAAGGCTTCTGCTTCCGTAGCTACCAAGCCGGGGCATTTTTAGCCGCCCTCCCCCACCCCCGGTCGCCCCTCCCCAAACGCCACTCCGGGCCGACCCAGCGCGCGAGTCCCGGGCACCCCGTGACGCGTGCGCTATTGCTGAGCCTCCCCGACTCCTCCTTCCCTCCCCGCCGCGACTCGTCCGTCCCAGCTGGCGCCCTTCGCCGCTCTTCGGGCGGTAGGTAGTCGTTCTTGTCGCTTGCCGTTTTCCGAGACGGTGGCCCGGCTTTCCTGGCTCACGTGGTGACCGACGGGAGGGAGGGGGAAAGGGTGGGGTCTGTGGACTAGTTTTTCTGGAAAGAGGGGAAAGGCGCCTTCGCGGGAGACGAGAGCGGCTCTCCTCGCCTTTCTTTTGCTCTTCTCTCTCTTCCTTCTTTCAGCCCCTAGTGTCGCCAGCCGGCAGCGCTTTTCAGAAAGGACTTCCTGCGAGAGTGCAGCCGGCTGGGGACAGTAGCTTGAAAAACGAGAAAGAGTGCCGGGCTGGGGCTGGTTTGGGGTTTTAGTAAGAAAACGAGAACGGGCAGCCGATAGAGAAGAATTAGCATGAAGTCGTAAGCAGCTAGTAAGTAAGGTAGTTAGGAAGGCACGCGAAGGGGTTTCCTCCCCAGATTTCCTGGGAGCGGCATCCGCAACTGATTGGCTGGAAGCGGAGTTATCCCGAGTCCGAATTTGGTTCTTGCTCCCCCATCCTGGTTTTAAGGCAAGGCGCAGGCCTTAGGGCCGCAGACCGGTTTCGGTATTGAACCCAGCCTTATCAGGCTGAGGCTAGCAGAGAGATGGTTTTTTTTTTCCCCGCGATGAATATGGTGCCAGGTTTTGCAAGCCTTGATTTGTTTACCCAGGAACGAACCCCGCTGAAGTCCGTGGGAATTTGACTTCTGAGCGCTATGCAGTTTTTAAAGCGTTGCACTGAAAACAACAAATACACATTGTGTCTTGCGGAGAATTGCCAACGAATCCAAAATAGTTTGCGTTTTGCCAAAAATAGGGTGTAGGGGAGACAGAGGAGGAGGAGAAAACTTCCCTTTGTTGTTAGACCTCTTTACAAAATTCTCAGGCCCTTTACTAAAGGAATTAAAAGGAGATGACATTCGTGATCAACTTTTCTGAAGTATTAAGTTGATCGGTAGGTGTAAACCAGCTGAGCTCTGTTTGAAAAAAACAAAACTTTACTTCTAAAGGCATTTTCAAGGGAGAGTTAAGTTTTCAGGCCACTTAGCAGAAGTTGCTACTCATCTCCCCCTCCCCTTACAAATATATACTTTATTCACTTTGGATTGAGACTGAGATGTTATGTCTTAGTCAATGGCTGGAGAAGTGCAGGTAGCATTGCTTGAAACGGTTTCTGTTTAAAGCAAGTAAGAAAAGAGGCTATTTGCCAAAGCCAGTATTTTGCTGACTTCTGGCTCATTAACACTGTAAAGTTTACCCAATCTGTGCCTTTCTCTTGTCTGAGCTAATTGAAGTATTAGCTTAAACAAATTTTGGGGAGATGAATTACTATCCCAATGAGTCCTGACAGATACCAGTCTTGTTGTAAGAAACAAATAATGGACGACATGGTTCACTGTAAAACACTTATCTCCCCCCCCCCCCATGCTACACTTGGTTTAAACCTGGAAAGAAGTCAAGCAGAGAATTTTACCACAAAAAAATCATTTTTCATCTTTGCTACAATGTTAATAGAGTCCCATTTTACAGCCCCCCCAGTATCTGTATCATTTATTGGTTTTGTCTCACAGGATATTTATATTGTCACATTTGGATGTTCCTAACTCGTTGGTGTTGATAGAAAGATACGATAGTATTCCTTATGAAGCATTGGTGTCTCTGCTCAGGCTCTGAAATTGAGACAGTAGTACATCTGCTTTTGAAATACCATATCATCATTTTTGGAGGACAGAGTTAATCTCCCCTCTAATTACAACTATCCAGGCTGCTCTCATGACAGTTGTATGGTACTTAGTAGAATTGGGAAATCTCTAGAATGAATGCAGATGTTTTTACTATCATTGTGTCCATTAGAAGTTTCTGGACCTGATTGGTATATCTTGTGTAGGCATGAATAGTTTGTCTTTTTAAAGTTGGATGGAATATAATGTATTCTTAACTTCTGTTTGGTGTACAACCATATATTTAAATAGAGTTTCTCTGCCTGTAAAAGTCCATATTAATAATGGAATTCTTTTAGATTGTAGAACATTATGAAATGTGTTGTAAGAGTTGCTTTTTCAGTACATCAAGTTCAAATCTCTCCCCGCCCCCATCCGTTCCAAAACACACATTGGTCTAAATCAGTGAAAATGAATATTTTTTTAAAAAGCACCTGTATTGAATATAGTGCAGGGAAGATGGATAGTGTCTTCAAGGAAAATGTTATAGATCATAATATCTAACCTTTCTAAGAAACCCCAGTATAGAGTTCATATTTCCATCCTTTCTCTGTCTCTCACACACAAACACACGGCTCTTAAATGTACAGGTTGTTATTAAGACGTGTGCTGCTTGTATCAGTTACAGTTACTTTGAGATTAAAAGCAGAAAGAAATAACCAGTGTGGAAAAGTTTTCTGGTAATGTTTCAAGCACAATGCAAGGGCTTAAAGACCATTGTATAGAAAATCAGCTAGTTTAAGAATTAAAAGGGGAAAATAGAGATGTTAGTGAAAAAAGGTCTAGGAAGATTATTTGTACTATAGCGTAACTTACATTATTTATATAGCACCTTAAAAAGAAGCTTTCAGTCTTAAAAGTGCAACTATTATGCCAGTAATTCTGCTGCATGATATTGTTCTGTTGGATAGATTTGTTCAGTGTTTCTGTGTTTAATATATTTGGATTTCTGGCTTGGCTTTAACAAGGAACTGTAGAAATGTGTTCCTGTTAACTTTCTTTGCAACATTTTGTAAAATATCTTATATTCTCCATAGTGTTTTCACATTTAAAGTTACTTCAGTTCTATATGACCCGAGGTAATACTATTGAGAAAAAAAATCATAACTAATAAAATGTACTCACTTTTTTTTCATTTTACTGAATGCTGACATTCAATCTTACCTTCTTTTTGAACAAATGGAGAATAAGGAAAATACCTTTATGGTTTTTATAATGTGCCTTTTAAAAATTGTCATTTCATGCTGCTCCTGGCAGAATGTTCCTATTGTTTGAACAGAACTCTCAAATTCTTCTCCAAAAGCTTCAGATGCCCATTTGGTAACAAGACTGGCAGGATAAAAACATTGTCACTGTCTTTTTTCTTATTTGGGAAAAATATTTCCTCTTACTGCTTCCAATGGGAAGAAATATATTTGGACCAACTGTCAAGCTAATCTAAATGTTTAATGCCTTTGGAGTTCTGGAAGTAGAAGAAACTGAAGAAATCCTGCTCCTCTGGGAACCCATCGACATGATTTAAATCTGGGCAAATCTGTATATATGCTTAACCTTTTGTTATTTTATAGTCACATGTCTCAGGAAAAATTGCATCCAAATCTACAATCCAACGTACACTTACTTAGATGTATATCATTGGCAGTACTAACTCGCCCTTCTGGGATTTACATGAAGGATTTGCAGATTGCACTGGATTTGCCTCAAAAAGTTTGTTAAGCAGAATTACATGTCTCCTCCCTTTTGAGAGGATCTCATTGTTTATTTATTTATTTATGAATGAGAATGAATAGACTTGAACTCTTATTTCTAGCATGTTTACAGGGCTTCTCTAGCAATAAAATGTTCTTTGGAACTTTTTATCTCATTAATCTACACTCAGTACTCCATAATGACAAAGTAAAAACAGAATTTTAGAAATGACTTGTAAATTTATTAAGAAGAAAAAAAACCCCTAAATATCACATTGGCATTAAATATTCAGAGCCTTTGCAACAATACTTGACATTTATCTCAGGTGCTTCCCGTTCTCTTGATAGTTGATGACATGTTTCTACACCTTGATTGGAGTCAATCTGTGCTAAATTAAATTGATTGGACATGATTTGGAAAGAAACACAACTCTCTATAGAAGACCTCACAGCTAACAATGCATTGCATAGGGTAGCAGAGCGAAAGCCATGAGGTTAAAGGAACTGCCTGCAGAGCTCAGAGATAGGATTATTGCAAGTCACAGATATGGGGAAGGCTACAGTAAAATTTCTACTGCAATGAAAGTTCCTAAGAGCATAGTGTCCTCCCTAATTCTCAAATGGAAGAAATTTGGCTCAACCAGGACTCTTCCAAGAGCTGGTTACCCGGTCAAACTGAGCAGTCAGGGGAGAAGGGCTTTAGTAAGAGAGGTGACCAAGAACCCAATAGTCACTCTGACTGAGTTCTAGAGATCCTGTGTGGAGATGAGACAGAGTTCCAGAAGGACAACCATCACTGCAGCCCTCCATTGATCTGGACTTCATGGCAGAGTGGCTAGATGGAAGCCTCTCCTCAGTGCAAAATACATGAAAGCCCACTTGGAGTTTGCAAAAAAGCACCTGAAGGACTCTTAGATTGTGAGGAACAAGATTCTCTGCTCTGATGAAACCAAGATTGAACTTTTTGGCCTCAGTTTTAAATGTTATGTTTGGAGGAAACCGGGCACTGCCCAATATCATCCCAACAGTAAAGCATAGTGGTGACAGCATCATGCTGTAGAGGTGTTTTACAGCAGCAGGGACTGGGAGACTGGAGGGTTGAGGGACAACTGAATGGAGCAAAGTACAGGGATATCCTCAGTGAAAACCTTTTCCACAGCGCTCAGGACCTCAGGCTGAGCTGAAGATTCACTTTTTAACATGACAAGGATTCTAAGCACACAGCAAAGACAACACAGGAGTGGATTAGGAGCAACTCTGTGAATGTCCTAGAGTGGCCCAGCCACTGACTTGAACTCTATTGAACATCTTTCAAAATGTCTTTCCACTGATTGAGCTTGAGAGGATTTGCAAGGAAGAATGGCAGAACCCCCAACCCCTCCAATCCAGGTGTGCAAAGCTTGTCGCGTCATACCCAAAAAGACTCAAGGCTGTAATTGCTGCCAGAGGTGCTTCAACAAAGTACTGAATGAAGGGGCTGAATACTTATGCCAAGTATTGCATAACAAAATTGACAAAAGTGAGAGGGGTCTGAATACTTCCTGAATATACCGTATTTATGTTAAAATATTGTATGTATAGCACAATGTTGGTTTAATCATTGTGATGAATGCCTTGGATCCTGCAGTTGTCTCTGTAGTTCCAAAAAGATTGTATAGGTGACATTGTGAGCCACCAGCTTTCATCTGTAGAAAATGAAAAGAAAAGAAATGAAAGAAGGAAAGGGCACAGATATTTAAATACAAGCTTGGGCTAAAGGTTACATGCAAAAGATCACTTCATGTTTCTTTGGTTGACTGAACTTGCTCTTCCTGTATGTAAACACATTGACTTCACTATTTTTTCTGTGGTTTCCTCTTTTATCAATAGTACGATTCTAATCCTTTGCTCATGTTAACCCTGTAAATTTTTCTCATAAAAATGCAAGTAAAATCTGTTTTGATAGTATCCTGTTTTAATGCAGGTTATTCAAAAGGCTTGTGATTTGAAATAATGGATGAACAATCACAGGGTCTGCCCGGTCCTCCTGCGTCTCAGTTTCAGCCACAGGTAAGCTAATCTAGATAATCTAGTACAAGCAGTCAGTCGGGAGTACATTAATATTAAAAGAACTGTTATCATATAGACCAGAGGTAGTCAACCTTTTTGTACCTACCGCCCACTTTTGTATCTCTGTTAGTAGTAAAATTTTCTCTAACCGCCCACCAGTTCCACAGTAATGGTGATTTATAAAGTAGGGGACAAAACCCTTACTGCCCACCATGAAAGTTGGAACACCAACTAGTGGGCGTTAGGGACCAGGTTGACTACCACTGGTATAGACTGAAAAGTGTTTTGAATGCCAATGTTATTATCTATTCCAAAATCTTATTCTGATTCCCTTTTCTGGAATCAGTGGAAATGTGAATGGGGAACATGGACAGGGCTGAAATGGGGTTATGAAGAACACTGTCAATAATAATAATAATAATAATAATAATAATAATAATAATAATAATAATAGGAAAGAAGAAAGGAAAGGAAAGAGCACTACAAAATTGAAGCCTTACATCAAAATTGTAATTCATCCAATACAGAGATCCCTGCAAGGATTATATAACTAAAACTGAACATAGTAAAAGCATAACTTTTGATATACTTTTATTTTTTTGAAGCCAAATTTAAATAATTCTCCTGAAACTAGCAGTCACCTTAACAGAAATGACACAAATTTTATGTTTTCAAGAAGTATTTCCTTCCTTAAAATGAAATCTCTGATGCTATATTCTTTTACTTTTTGTTTTGGATGAAAACCTAAGTGTGCAATTAATTAATTGCAATTAATTTCATTGGATGAAGTGACTTTATCTATACTGCAGCTCCAGCAAAGATGTCCATAATGTGAGATCTGAGGCTCACGGGGTGGGAATTGATGGTTCTCAGGCAAGAGAGGAGCACTCTGTAAATGTATCACAGTTGTCCAAGGCCATTAAGGGAGATGACAAATACATTGTTGTTGTAAGCTGCCCAGATTTGTGTTCTAAGATGGATGGCCATATGGATCTTTTAAATTAACTTTAAGTTTATTTGGAAGGGCAGTAGGAAAAAGCCCACTGAGAATATACACAAGTATACACATTACAGTGGGCTTTCTGTCTGTTGGTAAGAGTTCATTCTTCTTGTCTGCAGTGAAGATTCTCATCTAGCTGAGCATTGTGAGTATTCTACTAAATGAAGCTGAGAAATTGTAGGAAGATTACACAGCTGGAGATTGGTGATTTTCAGCTCAATCTGTAAAGCTACCTGTATATCCCTGGATAAACTGTTGTAAAGCTAACAGTTTATCCCTGGAAGAACCAGGTTATGGAGAAAAGGGATTTTTGCCACAATGGTGTTTCCAAAGAAAAACCTTAAATCACAATTTGTATAACCCAATCTTATTCTTTGTCTACCCTCTCTACTTCAGATTTTTTTTTGTTTTTAGAAAAAACCCTTCAACATATTCCTGTAACTGAATTTACTGTCTATTGCCTATCTGCTAAAGTGGATAGGTTTTGTTGCTTGTTATAAAATGTGTATTTTTTCAAAGGTATTTTGGTTTCTAGTGATATGTTCTCATATTAGTATTCAGCCAGGCTCCAGAATTGCTTCAAATCAGAGGTGGTATTCAGCAGGTTCTGACCAGTTCTGGAGAACCAGTAGCGGAAATTTTGAGTAGTTCGGAGAACTGGCAAATACAACCTCTGACTGGAGATTTTACAGTATCCTTCCCTTGCCACACCCACCAAGCCATGCCCACAGAACTGGTAGTAAAAAAATTTGAATCCCACCACTGCTTCAAATCTTCCGGATTATTGTTGTATTTTGAGAAGAATAGAAATGTGCAAATAGGTTGCTCAACGTAATGTAACAAAAACATTTTTACCTTCAGGTTGTGCTTGCAAGTGAGTATTTCTGCCAGAACCCCACCCCCACCCCCACTCTTCATATTGAAAGTGACATAGAAATTTTATTTTTCAACAATCTAAGCTTCAAGAGTATACCTTCTTCTGTTTTGAACAGAACAGTTTTTTAAATGCTTCAGGACTGGTGAAGATAAATGCAATGAAAGAAAGACTAGCTTAATAGAACGTTGCAATCATAATTTCTGAAAGGGGAGAGTGTGATTAAACATCTGCAAGAGATGATGTGGCCTTGTGGCTTTTGCTACAGAGCAGAATGTTAAATCATAAATTTGAAGACTGTCCTTGCTCTCTGATTTGTAAAAGGGTTTGCGTCAGAGAGATGTTGGCACTTTAGCTGACCGAAAAAACACCTGTATCGTGCTTGAATAATACCAGAGATAAAAATAAAAGCTCTGGAATATAAAGAATCAGAGCAGCAGTAATGAGGAATAAGGCAGTGTGCAAGGTGATTTTTAGATAATGTGCCAATATAACTGGTATCCCTTCAGTGTTTTTTCATAGTCCCAAGGGAAACTGTCTTCTATTGTCCTAGAAGAGAAAAAGTACTGTGTTAGGTCCACAGAACCTTAAGTCAGTACAAAATAGTGCAGCTATAAATAATTGAAAGTCATGGTTAACAAAGCAAAGTTACCTCTTGGATTTTGGAAATCATTAGCAAGAATGTGCTTCTCTTTCTCTTTTGCAAGCATCATTTTCAGGGATTCATAAAAGTGTTTGGCCCTACTATTGTTGGAGGAATGGACCTCCATTGTGGTGGAATGCAACCATTTAATTAAAATTCTGAAACCTGGTCTATAGGTGCAATTCTTTAGTAAGGAGTGGAAAGGCTCTTGACAGGCACCAAATTCAACAAAATAGTCGAATTTGGACTGAAAATACATTTTATGTAGTGGTTATGTTTTCCTCCCTGTAAGTATAGTGTGAAAATATGTGCTTCTTGTTATGGATCGGTGCTTGTTTGATTACACTTCAGATGGCATTTGGCAATTTTTTGTCTCTTTTATGGACTTTGTATGCAGTGCCAGGCAAATCATACTGTAGTCTGACAAAGGAAAAGAGGGAAGAATTGATGTCAAACGAGGCAAGGAGAATGAGAGTCTGTTCTTGTAACTCTCATCTCAGTCACAAACTATGGATTTATTTTGAACATGGGAATGAGTTAAAATAGGTCATTTTAGTTCAGTATATGAATTTCTGCTTTATTTGAAAAAATAATAATAAAAAACCCCCTGTTAGATACTAGAGAAGATACCACCATTTTTTTAAAAAAAAATATGCCTGGTTGCAATGCAGTCTAATCATTGCTGTATAATATGTTCTCTGACCAACTGATGGCCCTATTATCCATGAGTTTATTCCTTTTCCAAATTCCTTTATGTCTGGGAGGGAGTCCTGCTATATAGCTGGAGATGTGCAGCTATGTTGCTTCTCATGTCAGGTCTCTGTGTCTGAATTGTATGACACAACAAGAGAGCAGATGAGACAAGCTGTCAGTCAGCCACACTGCCCTTTGAAGGAAGACCACTGGGGTTGGGTGGGCAGAGAAGATGCTGCAAATGGGCTGTGAAGTTTACATACAGTGCCCACTGTTAAACAGATTACCTCTAATGAAGTGTCTAATGCTCAGGCTATCTCAGTCTAATTCTCACTGGCAGTTCATCTCTCAACTGCCAAAAAACCCTACCACCCTCTGGCCCTCTCTCGCCACTCTGGCCGCCAAACACAGAGAGGTGCCCGGTCTTAATAAAGCCAGACAGTGTGTGATCTGACATGCAAATGTAGGTCATTGCATATGTAAATGTGTGATTACAAACCTGCATGCCAAAACACATTAGGGAGACTTTGCTCTCAGCAGGCGGCTGTCACACTGCCTTAGTAGTTCATGCTAATGTTTGTCAAGTTGTTGTGCAGACAGAGGATGCAATTCGCTATTCCAATTTTGAAATATATGCTGGTTAAACAACCTCAGAAATACTCCAAACTTAATGAAGCTACATCCCGTTTCTCTGTAGCCTGAGCATTTGAATAATAAGAGAGAGCTCCCCAAGTTTGAATGTATTTCTCTAACTGCTAAGGCTGAATTTGTTAAACCTGCATAGGCGCTTGGAATATGTTTTTTCCTGAATTGTTACGCTGCCATTCCTATCAAAGCAGCTCCATGTTTGGTCTCTGCTTCATCTGGTGAATATTTTTGATTGTGGGGCTGAGTAACCAAGCAATGAGTCAAAAGTTGATTTTTAGTAGCTGTTGAAATTTTAAAGGGAGTATTTTTGTTCCCAAATCATTTTGAATTGCTACACTTTTTTGGGAGGGGAACAATATAAACTGTAGAAATGAGAAAATTGTTGTTCTCCTCCAGATCTTTTTGCTGTTGTTATTTCAATTTAGACTATTGTATTTAGTGGACAAATCTGTAAAACTTTAATGTACAAACAGTATACAGTATAATAGAACAGAGTACAGCCTGGAGCAGCTTGGACCTCAGGGACCACCAAACTCATAATTTTAGATCCCAGGGACCACTAACCGGTTCTGTGGGCGTGTCCTAAATTGTAGGTGTGGCTTGGTGGTCATGTGACTGGCTGGGCATGGCTTGTATATAAATATTATAAATATTTATATAAATATTGAATTTTTTATAAAAAAAGAGCAACTTTTACTCAAAATCAGGCAAAGCAGGGAGGCAGATTGAGTTCCTCACAGAATCACAGATTCATTCAGAGATCTATCTATCTGCCATTGGCTAGCTCAGTCTGTCACATAAAATTTGCTTGCAAGCAACCTCATAAAATTAACTCACAACACACCATGCATGTAAATATTGATTTTTTTATTTAAAAAAGAACAACTTTTACCCAAAAGCAGGCAAAGCAGGCAGGCAGATTGAGTTGCTCACAAAATCACAGATTCATTCAGAAATCTATCTGCCATTGGCTAGCTCAGTCTGTCAGATAAAATTTGCTAGCAAGCACACTCATAAAATTTGCTAGCAAGCAAACTCATAAAATTTGCTAGCAAGGAAACTCACAAAATTAACTCACAACACACCATGTATGTAAATATTGATTTTTTTATTAAAAAAGCAATTTTTATCCAAAATCAGGCAAAGCAAGCAGATTGAGTTGCTCACAGAATCATTCAGTGATCTATCTATCTGCCATTGGCTAGCTCAGTCTCTCAAATTTGCTTGCCGTGAATCTGTTCTGAATTTGCTTGCAAGCAAACCTTCAGTCCTAAGGGAGGTTTGGCTGTGCTTAGCTAGAAAGCAAAAAATCCAACCATTTCCTGCTTCCTAGCTAATCTAAATCTCCCGGCAGAGCAGAACAGATGATGGTCGGAAAAAGGAAAAATAGCAGCTTAGCAGACAAGTTTGTTGGGTAAGGAGTGAGTGGGTGGGGAGGGTTCCCGCGGGTCATGTGGGCTGAGCAGCCTTGTCTTTCTACATAGCCTGGATTAATTGCTTTGGGGGGGGTGTTCTGGGGGTGAAATTTCTCTGCATCCCACCAAAATTTCCTCATGGCCCACCAGTGGGCCACAGCCCACCGGTTGGCAACCGCTGGTCTGGAGTATTATCTTACTGATTGTCTTGCCTTGTATATATATAAAATGTCAGCTGTGTATTAATCAAGTGTGTGTCTTTTTAAATAGTAAATTGTAAAAGAACATCAAGAATGGAAGCGGAGGAAAACTAGAGTCTAATATTGTGCTTTTCTTCTTGATTTTGTTTAAAGCAGTACAGTAGGGGTTACTAAATTGATCTCTTTCATAATGTTTTCACACAGGTTCTGATTGTGGTTCAGTAAATATTCCATGTATTTGTATCAGTTATGAGTTAAACTTTTAGTTTTTTCTCTCGAGTAATGAAACACTATGCTGGTTTTTATCTCTCCTTCATATTTTTTTCTTCATCTGCTGTAGCCCGAAAGAAACTTCTCTTCTGAATGTAAGACCTATATAAACAATATTAAACTGATCAATAGATGAACATCCATCCATCTATCTAATCTCCAAGCCAGACACATGTCTGGCATCCTCAGATATTTAGTTCAGTTTCCATTAAGCCCACCCAACATGGCAAATAGCAAGGAATGGTAACTGAAAAGATCAAGAGGCACCTTTACCTTCCATGTTGTCCTTAAGTGTAATGTGTAACAAAACACATTTTCATCAAATCATAAAGTTGGAAAGGATTTCAGAGGCATCTAATCAAACCCCCTGCGTAGTGCAAGAACCACTAGAACAGTTTTTAAAACATGATAGCATAGCTTTAGTTTAAAGATCTCCAATTAACAAGAACTTACCATTTCATATGGCACCTTATTGTACTGGTTCACGACTACATTCTTATGAAATACTTAAGCAGCCTTGTAACATAATTGAGAGCTGAAAGAGACTGACTTGAGACTATCTGGTGAACTCCATGATTGATTTGGAACTTGTACTCCCTTTCCCTGCTCATAACCATTATTCTTGCCTCTTAGGACTGTGAAGACCAAAGCTAGTTTCTTAAATTGAACCTGAAAAGGATGCAGTAAGCATTCCATTGTTAACATAGACGTGTTTGTCTATTTTAAAAAGATAGCTGGAATTGTAGATCTTTAAGTGGGAAATTACTGATACTTAGAATTCATTTTTAAAATTAGATATATTATCTCAAGTATGTATATAATATTCCCATTTCTCAAGTGAGCATTTCAAACTCAGAACAAACACTGCTTAGTGTTTTTCAAGTACCCACATCAGTATAGCTGCCAGTAAAGAGGATTTCCTTGTTCCTGCCACTACATGCAAGTTTACCTTTTCATGAATATATCCCCTCCCACATTTATTTTTCTGGAGTTAATATTCAGAACACCTGGCTCCACTGGAGATAAAAGAAAGTTTATTTGTTTGTTTTTGTTTCTTGGCCTGCAGAAAGCCTTACGACCTGACATGGGCTACAATACTTTAGCCAATTTTCGGATAGAAAAGAAGATTGGCCGCGGACAGTTTAGTGAAGTCTACAGAGCTACATGCTTGTTGGATGGTGTTCCAGTAGCTTTAAAAAAAGTGCAGGTAAGCATCTTTAGGAAGTGAAAAACATCTCTCTGTCGGTTCTGATATGGTTGCTTAAATATTATTTGGTGTATAAATTTAATTCTTTCCAAACATTATCACTTAGAATCAGTTCTGATTGAAGAACCACAAATGCTTCATAAACAGTAAACGAACAAATAAATGCTAGGTTGTGATAACATCATAAAGTGATTATCAGCAAAGTCTTTCCTTTTTAAAGAAGCACTTAGGTTATCAGCATTAAATATGTTCAATCTAATATTCATAACATTTTATACTGGAATTAATTAAAATTGCACTGTGCTATGGAACTTTTCCAGTTCATATGGCTTTTCTTTGCAGCTGCCACATGCACAAAAAAGGTACAGCTGCTTTAAGAGCTATATCTACGCTCCTGCTTGTTCAAAGCAAGAATCCAAAGCATTAGAGATGCCTAGAAATTATATCTCAACTCAACATCATGTGCAATCATTGTGAGAAATTCTACCTACAATGAGAACATTTTATTACTTCTCTGTTCATTATGGGGCTGCAGCTGTCAAGTAAACTTGCTTTATTCTCACTAATATTGTTTAGAAAATGAGATCTAATGAATGCCGATAGCAGGTAAATGCCTGGCAAATGCTATGAAATGGATAGAAAAGAAGGATGATATAATCTTCTATCAATAAAGCCAGACTATGAACTCAAGTAAGAAATTGACCCTTCTACACTGCTATCCAACTTTCTGCTGATAACCATGGTGTTTTGTGATACTAAGACATTGGTGTCAATAAAATTTTTCCAACATATTTGCAGTTGCAGACTAAACCGAATGAGGCAAGATTTGTAGAGAATCAAGCCTAAGATTGTTGGAACAGGTTCTTGCACTACCAAATACGTAGATGAAGGTGTCAGGAATTAAGCCTTTTCTCCTAGATAAGAAGATTGTGTGGATATGTAGGTTAAGAGGGAGAACAAAAGCACAATGATTCCCACCTCCCTTTTCCAAATTTAGGTTGCCTTTTCCACCCTTTCTACTTAATATTTACAAAATATTGTCAGTGTTTCTTTGGTTTTTTTGTATTAATTTTTTTCTAAGTCCTATGTGCTGTCATGTGGTATACTGTGACAGATCATGATAGAATTTGGACAGGATGGTTATATAACTTAATCTCACTGTTTTTCTAGACAAGTTTATTTAACAAAGGCTGTTCACTTCTTAAATGGAATTGTTAGCCTGATGCTCATCAGGAAGTCTCTAGATCAATAGAGCGTCCTTAAGGCTTAATTCTTAATCATTTTTGGGTAAGTCATGTTTCAAAGTCCCTTTCTCCTCTCCCTTTCTTTTTTTAAAGTTGTCTGACCAAGTTAAATAAATCCTTTTATTGAGGAGCAGCAGAAGATGGCGAAGAGGAGAAAGTAGGGTACAATAGTGTTAAATCATCCCATAAATGAGTCAGAAAGAGAACTGCCAAAGTAAACTCAGTGTTGTATGTTTACTAAACTATTTTTAAGCTTAAGAGCTTAGCAGGATTGTGAATCACCTAGTAACAGAAACAAAAAAAAAGTTTAATGTTTGTTGCTCTCTGTACACTGTGGCAGGTTTTAGTATGCTTGGTCTACCCAGGAACTTAGCCAGAAACCGCCTTGTATTTTATATCCTAGGGAATTGTGTGTTTTCTTCCATTTACTTCCATGTTTTTCTCAGAAGGTGCTAACTAAGGGTTGCTTTTATCCTGGAGCAAGATTAATTATTTATTTTATGTTGTCAGAGAGTTGCCTCTTGAGGATTGCAATGATCTTAAGAAAGATAATAATAATTTCATAAAATTAATGCCTTGCCATTTTATTTTAATGTTTGGCAACTATGGTATGGTTTATGTATTTCTAGCAATGGGGTTTGCTATATCATTTTACATTCCTATTAGATTGTGTCACCTTCCTTAAAAAAACCTAATTAATATTGTTTAATTTTAAGATTCTAACACTTACATTATGAAAGATTGGATTGTAACCTGTACATTCTAATAAAAAGGCCATTGCTCTTTGAAATTAAATATCTATGACTTTACAGGAGTGCTTCTATGTAAGGTATTTCCAAAAAAATAATCTATAGATTAATTGATTTACATTATCTTCTTCAAAAGTTGAAGCTTAAATTAGCTCATTGGATTAAGAGAAATAAATTATGGATTTGAAAATGAAGATGACTATGCATTTTAGCCTCTTTAGAACTACTTCTAACTACAGTACAATGTGTTGCTTCTTTGTCTAACTAATTTACTGTACACTTAATATGTAAATAGCAAGGAGTCATCTTTTCATTCCCTGAAATACTGCCATGTTATTTTGCAGTGTCTTGTTTGGCTTGTCTTTTTCCTATTGTCTCTCATAGAGAGATAGCCAATTAGCTTCTGTTGTGCTCTTCCCTCAGTGCATTAGACTCTTTGGAGGCTAATGCTGTTTGTATTTTATGCAGATATTAAAATCTGGAAATATCTGAAATCCTAATGTTATTATGAGTATATGTTGGTGAAATGGATATCTGATTTGCTTCTAACTTGGTCGATATATATTTGTTTTCATTTAAAAAAATATGAAGGTCATTCAGTAGCTGTAGCAGCATTTTCTCTGGAGTTTGGCTTTTAAGAGCCTTGCATGGTAAAATATACACAAAAGTTACCTTGACAAGAAAATATTTTTATATAGTTTTATTATTATTGCATAGAATGCACTATTGCATCCTAATTATGTTGCCTGCCAGCAGTTCTATTCTCATAAACTCAATTGACTCAGCCTTCCATTCTTCCGAGGCCAGTAAAATGAGGACCCAGATTGTTGGGGGAGGGCTGTAGAGCACTATGAAGTGGTATATAAGTCTAACTGCTATTGCTACTTTATTTGTTTTTAATTGCTTGAGTTATTATATATTCTGGTTATTTCTTCTTAAGACCTTTGAAGATGCAAAGTAAGCACAGTTAATTGGTGGGTTGCCTCTACTAGTGCTGTGACTATAGTTCCTAACATTCCCAACATAACTATGATTTCTATAGCAGTCTTAAAGCTTTTTAATTGTGGAAGCCAAACAGCAGGATCACAGCTCACCAGCTCAAATCCCCCAGCAACTAAGACTAACCTGAGCACAACCAAGCCCCCACCTGAACAGAACACGCCTCCAGCCAATCAGAACACGCCCAACCCCCCAACCAATCAGAACACAGCCAAACCCCCTACCAATGTGAACACACCCCCACCCAATCAGAACACAGCCAAGCCCCCACCCAATTAAGTCACACCCCCACTAGCAGTTAAAAGGAAGAAGCAGCTGCAAGCTCACATCACTCTGAGAAGCACAGAGCCGAAGACAGAAGCCTGAAGATGATGAATGAGACTTCATCGAAACGTTGCCTAGATACTTCCAATCTTACGCGGGAGAAAACCCGAATAACCAAAGATCCATATATGTTTATATATATAAATATATATATAAATATATATATAAATATATATAAATATAAAACTGGGCTAGGTTTAGATCCAATTAAAGTTTATATCCTACAAAAGATTAGATTCCAAACTAAACATATAATCTAGTAACTCAGAACTCCTGCTTTTAAACTGTATATTTGCTTGGATATCTGCTATTCATCCAACATGACAAGATTGCCACGGAACCCAAAATAAATACCCTCTCAATTCTCTTTACTTTTCACTGCAAAAGTATTTCACTCTGTCTAAGCCATTCTTCATGATAAATTTCTCCTTTTTCTGAGTCTTTATTTCCATAGATCGTTAACTATTTTTTTTCTCACACAAAACCTATACTAAAATAGTTTTCCTCTTTGAATCATTTCAGGAATGTAATAAGAACTTTCTATTTTTCACAAATTCCCATAGTCACATTACCTAATACTCAAGGATCTTGTCGTTAATGTTTTATGGACCTAGGAACTGTTATTCCACACTGGAGAGATAATGAAACAAATATTCAACCATCAGATTACATTCTTATATCAAATTGTGTTGGTTTTTACAAGCTCTTCATCCTTTGCCTCCTTCATGGTTTTCAGAAAGTTTTAAGTTTGGCTTTTAAACTCATGCAGGAAATTATAATAAATGGTGATACCTATTTTAAGGGTGTCAAGATTAACCTCAAAAGTATTTAAAACTCCTTTCTGGCTGATAAAGAAGTGAGAAAAGTGGATGTACTTGGCTGGTCAGTAGGTTGGGATAATTAGAATCTCTGATGAAACCAGGAACGTAGTCTTATTAATAATGTTTAATGGGATTTTCTACAGTAAATCAATCAACTTCTTTTAAATAATAATCTGACCTTTGGATTTATCCCAAGGCAATCAATTTAATCTGTCCAAGCTCCTGTGTGTTGCTTGGTCAAACCTGAAAAAAAATTCTCAATATTCCTTTAATTTCTACAAGTCCAATATAATCATTTTAGTTTTATTATTCAATCTCTTAATGCTAAAGTGTACTCATTTTTTTAACTTCAATCACATAGCTCCCTCCTTTAAATCTTATCAGTCAAAAATACTGAAAATAGCGTAAGGGAGGCAACACTTGAATATGGCTTCAGTTTTTGAAAAATAACATTTTTCAAAATTTTTATGCTTGGTTTTTGAAAAATAATATTCTCTTGCTTCTCAGTTTTTGCGGGCATCTCTTAATGCATAAGACACAGTGTATTGGTATTAGTCATCACTGGCTTACATTCTTCAAACAGTCTGTTCACTTTAATCAAAATCCTAATATCCCAGCAACTTAACACATCACAAGTTCCTCACCAGAATAGGTCTGTTCTCTGTGTGTGTGCTTTGGAGGCTAAACAAATTGCATTTAAGCACATGAAAGTAATTTTATCTGTTTTTCATAATCCCAGATAAAGCCACAGTGGCTTGGAGATTAATTATAATTAAAAATGATTTGTGGTTTTGCCAAAAATAATACCTCTCCCTCCCCAACTGCTTGTAGTATAACAGAAGAAGCATTCATTTGTGCTTTTA